CAAGGATCACTGGGCATCCCCAGCATCCGGAGAGAGGCCTGGAGGACTTCCTTCCCTTGGAAGGGGCCATCCCTGCTGAAACCCTGATTTGGGACTGCTAGTGTCCCTCACTCTGAGATAGAATATTTCTGTTGTTTTAAGCCACCCAGTTGGTGCGATTTCGATTTCACAGCAGCCCTATGAAACTAATACACACTCCATCCCATGACATTTAACACCCAGCCTCTCCCTGTGGAGCTCTGCCTCCACTATTGCCAGCTTAGCATATTTTCCATTCTTCCCCCAACCTACTCCTCTCCCTGAAAAAAGTGAGCCTTATTTTCAGAATCTCTTCTCAAGTGAACGTTTTCTGCTTTATTGCTTACAGATAAAAACAAACTCCTTCAACATTGTTGGTGGGAATGTAAACTAGTGTAACCACTATGGAGATCGGTATGGCGATTCCTCAAAAAACTAAAACTAGAAATTCCATTTGACTCAGCTAGTGCCCTTCTAAGTATCTTCCCCAAAGAGTTAAAGGCATCATATGACAGTGATGTATGGATACTCATGTTCATAGCAGTGCAATTCATAATAGCTAAATCTTGGAAACAGCCTATCTGTTCATCAATGGATGAATGGATAAAGAAAATGTGGTATTTACACACAATGGAGTACCACTCTGCCATAAAGAAGGATAAACTTGAGTCAGTGCAGGAAAATGGATACACCTTGAGACCATAATATTGAGTGAAAGAAATCATTATCATGTGGTTTCTTTTTATGAGAAACTCAAAGTATAAACAAGAAGCAAAATAAGAGATAGATAATAGGAAGATAATGAGATCTTCATTAACATACACTCTAGAAGGTGCACGGCATAGGCAGATCAGATCTTGTTTAAAATTCACACACTACCATTTAGCAGATATCGAGTAATCTTGAGTTAGCTCAATATCTTTCTGAGCCTCAATATCTTCATCTATAAAATGAAGGCAGAAGTAGAAGGCCCTTTCTAATGGTTATGAGAGACTGATGAGGTGTCATACATGAGGGCACACGTGGCAAACATTTAGCAAATGTATATATTTTCTTTTCTTAAATATAAAATCACTGTTTTCTGTTGGCTTTGTGATAAGATGATAAGAGATTAAATTAGCATAAATGTCCAGAAACAAAGGGCCAATTATATTAAAATTATATTTTAAAAGCTTAGACATATGTCATTTGCCAATTACTAACAGAATACTACAGAATCTGAATTTTCACTGAAATAACACTGTCATTTGCACTGAATTTACACTGTCATCTGGATAGGAGAGCTCTGAGGATCTCAGTTTGGTTGTTTCCTGGGAATAATTTAACTTTTGGCGACACTTCAGAGGAAGGGGAAACAACAGAGAAGGAAGAAAAATAAAAGAAACCCAGACAGGAAGAGCAGAGGGGGATAAACTGCTTCCTGACAGGACCCTGACAATCAGTTTCCTAGTGACTCATTTTGCCTCCTAGGGAGAGAAGCTCATTTAGTCCACAAGTATTCTGCCCCTTGAATCTTTCTGAACAAAAATGAGTGTGAACAAAAATGAGCGACAGAGCAAGGCTGCAGGTAAAGCCCAGAGCCTACACCCAGGACAGAACTCAGGGTGCCCAGGGAGCCCTGGCCACACATGTGTGAACACGAACAGAGGTGGCACACAGCTTGTCCCCAGCTGCTGCAAACTGCCTGCAAATGAGGCATTATTGTCCCCGTCCCGCAGAATGGCACATCAGCCCAGTCCCTCTGGAGGTCGTGTAAACCACTTCCATCTGCTCCATCATCTCCATATCTAGCAATTTCCTGAAAAAGGAGCCTTTGTTTTCCTAAATGCCACAACTTGTCAATCATGAAAGATGATCCTGAGCTCAGTAAACTGAGCTCCGCTAGAATGGACATGCTTTTAGAGACCACTGCCATGTCCAAGCAGCATAGACAGGGCTCAGGCTGAGCCTGACAGCCCTTTATCTGTAAGTTCACATCTCTAAAGTTCAAGCAGATGGCTACAAACCTACCTGACCCTAGTAGTACAGCAGAAGAGTTAAATGACCAGTTTAACTTCTGTCTTTGCCAGCTTCCAGTTTCTGCCTCAGTCTCCTCATCACAGGAGGACAAGGATAATCATAACACACCTTCTAGAAGACTGCCGCAGAGACACGGAGATGAAGTATGTACAATACTAGCATGATGTTCAGCACAAAGTAAGCCCTCAATAAATGTACGTTTCCTGCATCCCTGTTGTCATTGTTGGCTGTGTTAGATTCCTGCAAAAAGGCATATTCCTTTCTGCAAAGACTCACCTGGGTTAAATCATTCTTTTTCCTAAAACAAACACATTTCTGGGAATAGGATTTAAGCAATGAGTTGTCGACCAACACAAAGCAATTCAGAGGGTGAATTATTCTAGGCTTGCTTTGCCTGGAGTGGTCCTAAAATGTTCCCTTGCGCCCAAAGTTTATTGCAGATCGTTTATCAGAATCTCACTGCATCTGTTCCCAAGCCCGCTGTCAAATCTCCAGCCCACCCACTCACAATCTCCGAGGCTTCTCAGTTCTTATGCTCCAGGTAGAACCCATTTGTCATTCACAGCATAAAACCTTCCACCTTGCAAAGAAGGGCTACGATCTCTTTCATAATGGTGGAACTGGGGGGAAATTGGTAAACTCTGCCTTATAGGCAAATGTCATTATACCAAAATTTTACTTCTAGCAATCTCAGCAGGTAAACTGTGGGAGAACAAACAATTATTACAAAGTAATATCTGAAGTTGGAGAGATTATGAAGTGGGTAAGGAAGTTCTGTGTTTTAATGCTTCCCGAATACCACCAGGATACCACTCTGAACAGAAACACTCGTTCTTTAAAGAGTAGGTCAGGAGTTGGAAGAGCTAGAGGATGGGTGTGATAGAAGTAAAAATTCCTGTAGCCTTTGGGGCCACTAGAGTGGGGTATTTAGGTAGGCCCCATCCCTGGCTGGGAGAAAGCTCATCCATGCCCATTGGTATGTTGGCAAATATTTTCATTTTCTTTGTGTGCTGTGATCTGAAAAAGTTTGAGAACCACTGAATATATTTTCCAAAGTCCCCTTATCATAATACTGGTAAAGATTAACCAGTGGATGGCTTGTTGCTGATACTAATATGTTCTAGAAAAATAAGCTATATGTTCTTGACATGAGAGCTCAGTCCTATAGCCAAAGCCTGTTATGGTCAGGTTCTTCTGCAAGGGACCACATGTAGTAAAGGGAGCACAGTTGCTGAGGGCTTTCACGAGGCTACCGAAGGAGGCAGAGACCCCATAGGGACAGAGACTGGGCCTGCTCAGAGATAGGATATGGAAGCCAGCAGCATGAGAGGCCACAGCCACACAGGGACCCAGATCTGCAGTGTGATGCTCCACCAACAGCAGGACTGTCTTGCATGCGATTCCCGGCTCCTACCCTCTGTGGATCTTTCAGGGTCGACTCCTGCTGCAAATTCCCCACATCTCTCCATACTTCCCAGTTCAGATTCTGGAGAATAAGAACGTGGGTGGTCCTACCAGTCCCTGCCTGGGAAGAACCTCAGGCCTTCGCTTAAGCTAGTCACCAAACTGTGGTTTGACTGGTCTTGGGGCAGAAACCTACTTTCCTGAAAGGGACGTGAGTCATAAAGTTCAAAACTTGATCGTCAGCAGACTGTGGTGGAGAGAACAATTTTCTTTTGATGGTTTCTGGATAGGAAAGATACAATATACATAGAACAAGCCTCTTCGAGAGAGGCTTTACTTATAAAAAAAGATCATTTAAAGGCATGTGTCATGTCATAAAGTGTGGCAATTCTCTTTGCATCCATCGATCCATTGATCATTGATCCATCCATCCACCCCCATCCATTCAACAAATACATATTGTTGTCCCTCTGTCTTCAAAAAAATACATGAGGTTTCCAAAGACCACAGTAGTTCTTAAAGACCATAAACCTAATAAGGGGGCATCAGTTGTGTGTGCAAATAATGCCAAGTGCTGTAAGAAGGACATAAACCAAATGTGCTGGGAATTCAAAGGAGGGAGACGCCTTAGCCCACTGGAGACAATGACACTTCCACTGGGCCCGGAAGGTGGGGAAGATGCTAATGTTCACTCTAGACATAAGCAGCAAGATGAGCCTAAACCTAAAGTTAGTAGGATTCTGTAACACTGACTTTTAGATTTTGGCATTTTACGTTGTGGGATATATGCATAATTATTTTTAAAAATCCACACTGAAATGAAAAGATACAGCATAAAAATTTATCTTTCACCAGGCTTCACTTACCCCTCTGCAAAAGTAACTGCCCTTACCTGTTTACTATGAACTTGTCCATGTTCCCCTACCGTTAAATGAAAGCTTTATGATTATGTGACTGCATACATAACGTCCATCCCATTTTACTAAGAAATGAGTTAAATACCTTGCCCCACATTGTGCAGCCTAGGAAATGAAGGAGTTGAGATTTCAACCAAGCTCTGCCAAAGATCTGAGTGTTTCTATTACATCTGGTGAGATGGGGCCGGTGGGTGGAAACTGCTGTCAGTGACTCAGCTCAGTCCTAGGAATAGCTCTCATTTACGGGAGTCATCTTGTCTCGGTCTGGAAGGAGCCAGGGTGGGCATGCAGGCATGAGCCCCTTCCAATAGAATGCTCTATAAATACGGAGGTGGGTGTGGGCTCTCCCTAAACTGTGTAGTGTATAAGCTCTTTGTGCTTTGCCTCCAACAGAAAGTGGATTTTATTTTAATAACAGAGACTGATTAGGTTGCTGAAGGTTTAAGAGAAGAAAATCGGACATGTTTCTCCTCTGCAGCATAACTTTAAGAATAGAGCAAATGAGTTATTGACCAGCTTGTCAGTAGTGGAAAAGCCAAGAAAGTTTACCTAAGCATCTTCCTTCTGCATCCAGAGACTCCAAAGGAACAGGTCACGGCACGTACGAGGGGACCCCAGGTTTTACAGCTGTAGTACACTTACCCCAGACAGCCATGAAAACAGCAAAGAAGACCGTGGCTCCATTGTCAAAAAGGTGGGTCACCTGGGAATAAGAGAGCAGATCAGGCTGATTCACGTGTGATAACTGCAATGTATTTTTTCAAGTTCTGTAAAAACCATCATGATGACACAATCAGCTTTGCAGGATGGTTCTTTGGTGAGTGTTCTCCTTAGGCTCAAATGAGAAGGGGGTTCCTCTAGCTGTGAAGATTAGATGTATGTAGAAGAGAGAATGTGTTCCCTCATGATGGTATTGTGATGTTGAACATTCATCAGCAGCCCCAAAAGTGTGACTAACAATCCCTTCTGTGGGCTACAAAATGCATACATATATCTCTGTACATGGATATAGCTATATTTAAGACCAGGAAGACATCATTGTCCCTACTTTAAAGGTTTCTAACTTCTGAAGCACTGTTTTTAATACCTCATTTATCCACTTCGAAAACATGGCTATTTTGTTCCTGGCTTTGAGCAAACATTTTCTGTGCTGCTTTCTGGATTTCAGCATTATGAAGTCAAGAGATCAGAATCATTAACAAAAGCTACTTTCATCTTTATTAAAGCCCCAAGTAATCAATGTATTTACCTACTGCACATAAGCCAGGTGGTTAGCAACACTTTAGTTCCAGAATAATGCATTCTGTTGCAAACACCCTGGCAGAAAGTGAAAATATCTATTCTTACTGCAAAATGGATAAGTTCATTTCTGCCTCTAGTGTAAATCATGCCAATGGCCATGCCAAATTGAAATGATAACAGGTTCATAAAGCACTATCCTTCTTTTGGGCATTTTACAGTTCCCTATAAAGTATATTTTATTGTCCCTTGGAGAAGATACTAAATACAAACTGGTCTTTCCGTGTTAGAGTGTAAAATATTTCTGATTATTTCAAAAGTTTTTATCTTCTCCTTTGAACATAGGAGAGACAAGCATAATGCGAGAGAAACCTCTGAAGCCTGTTTATTCCATGGCAGAGGGAGCTGGGTCACACTGAGCCTGAGAGCTCAGCGGGCTGTAGTCGGCTAGTGCTCTCCATCTGGGTCACTTGCAGCATTGGTGCTGGTTCTGGTATGGGTTGTGCTGTCACTGGTTTTGGCCATCACCTTTCCTCTGTCTTCCTTTCTCCAGGCTAACAGGTCACTCTTACGCTGGCCCCAGGGAGCACGTGGATCAAAACAGAACAATGAGAGTATTTCCTGGGACGGTGGTGCAGACATCTGGAGAGAGATAGTCTTCTACCGCAGCTAACAGACCGGGAGTCTGTGGTGCAGAGTGGGTGAGGAACAGCAACTTCGGGGCCCTGGCAGATGGTAAGCTGATTTATGCTGATGGTACCTTCTACCAGTGTCAGCCATGGAAAAGCAAGATGGTAGATTCCAGGTATTAACAGGAAAAACAAAGGCCCTGAGAAGCCCCAGGGCAAACAGAAGGCTACTTTTAATGTGTGTGTGTGTGTGTTGGTGGTGCTAGTGGTAGCCAATCCCAAGCAGCGTGAGACCACAGATCAGAAAAACCCTAGCTCTACTCTTGCCTCCCGGCTCAGATGGTCTTTGATCCTGTCTCCCAGAAATCAGCTATGAGGCAAGCCCCAGATGCTGGGGTCTGGGTGACATCAGGGGACATTCCAAGTCTTGCCTGGTCGAGGCCTGGATAAAGCAGGTGGTGCCTGGCCAGCAGCCTGGGACTTCCAGTCCTCAGCCCATTCTCTTAAAATCACACTTGACAGATTGCGATCACTCAAGGAAAAGCATCTTCTTCACTGCAGCTTTGTTCTATCAGGTTTAAAAATGAAACTGACCAGAGAGGTCCCCTGCTAGAGAGGCAATGCCCAGTGGTACCAGAGGAACGTGGTCCCCCATTTTTGTCACCAGGACACACAGACCAGCACCTGGGCGCTCACTTCCCCAGAGTGCATATGGCTTGGAGGGAACAAAAAGGCACAGGTCAGAATAATGGCACTGGGGAAGACAATTCCCAGCCCCTGCAAGAAGATTCCTAAGGAGGCAGGTCTGCCTGGACTATCACACATTCCACCGTGGCCGACCGAGACTTGGAAATACAGACAACTGTGCTTACGGAGATAAAGGAAGAAGTCTGGCAGGCAGCAGACACGGCCCCCATGGTGTGATGAGAGGCTGCCTGCAGAATGGCCACGTAGACAAGAGCAGACAGAGGTACCCTCGGGCTGGGGCAGCTCCGAGAAAGGAGTCAGCAAGTCCCCATCTGTTTATACCAGTTGGAAATGGGCTTCCGCCTCTTGCAAATGCAAAGAATGAGGATCAGGCATCCTCTTTGATGGGCAGAACAGCTGCTGGTTGGATGATTCAAGTATTGGTTTGATCCAGTGTTCCTGTGGATCCAAAGTCTCGTGAAATCCCTCGGACATTTCTAATAAACATGTGTAAAGGAAACCTGGCATAATTCCGATTATATCATTCTTTATTTTATTAAATTTTTAGTCTAGATCAAATGTTATATTCAGAGCCTAAATATCTTATAGCTAGCTCAGCATAGCATGGTAGTAAAGAAGGTAAGTTTTGCAGATTCATAAACTGAGGCCCAGCTCCTTCATGCTGTGTAGCTCCAAGCCTCTGAGCAACATGGGAATAATAACGCCTACCTTGAATATGCGATGCAAATTAGAAAAATACGTGTAGTTACCGAGCTATGATTACAGGTATAATCCAACTATTACGAAAATTATTATTTTTTGGATTGTAGGTAATTAATTTCTAGTAGAAGCCCCTATACAATCTGAATATGTTAGTCATATGATCCTGTTAAGGAATTATAAATTCTGAAAAAGCATTTCACTTAAGCACATATTTTCATATTAAAAAATAAAAAAATTAAAATGTCTGAATCTCGAATCTACCAAAGAACTTAGCTTCTGTTTCTGAGATTCCCCTAAAGCAGAATTTCAAAACCTGAGTCATAAGGGTTTATCTCATGACCTTTAAACAAAATTCTATTACTGACAAAACTCTACTCCCTCCTCACCAAATCGCTCTTTGCCAAGGTCACTGTCAGATCTGCCCTCACACACTTGGTCTGTCTGTGTGTTCTCCCAAGATAGGGAGAGCTATTTCGTGCCTTTTCAGTCCCAAGTGACACATGCCGAGAGCCCAGACCTTTCTGAGCTCGCAGCTGGCTGCTGGTACCCCTGCCACAGGGACAGACCACCTGCAGCGCCCAGCGGTCTGGGTGGGCGGGCCCCGGGCTGTCCATCCAGTCTTCTCTCTTCAAAGGAACAAAACTGTTGGAAGCTAACAGTATAATTACCCGGATCCAGGCTGCCGTGATCAAAGAGGTTCACTAGACTCTGCCAACTCCATTTACATCTGGAATCTGGGCAGGCAGAGATCTGGGTCTTGAAAAAGATTTCATCCACCCAGACTCCAGCTCTTTGGCATTAGTGGGCTGCTCCTAAGTTAAAAAAAACACTCTAGGAATTTGACGATCGTGTTCCATATTTTAATAAAGTAAGGCATAACCTAAGGAAGGGGCACAAAGGCACTTATGATAGGGATTATGGTGGCACTTTCACAGATACTCTTTGTTCTTCAGTCCTCACGCCACTGGCATGGGGCAGAGAGGGGAGGCAAGGTCTGGGTTTTAGATATGAGGATGCTCCCTCTCAGAAAGCCTGCACACAGCAAGGTCGAGGAGGTGAGTACCGGAGCTAGCCCTGCAGCCACATTCGGGACCATGGTGATGATGAACAGGAAATGACAGCAGCTGTCACTTATTGATATCTTACTATTTGTTAGGCACTGTGCTCCATCTACATCTTACCTCACTCTTTATAACCCTCACGTGAAGTAAACATCACATGCTTCATTTTGCAGATGAAAAAGGGAAGATGTGGGGGTAGTGCACGCCTGTGATCCCAGCACTCAGGAGGCTGAGGCAGGAGGATCACCATGAGTTTGAGGTCAGCCTGGGCTACATAGTGAGTTCAAGACCAGCCTAAACTACATAGGGAGTACTAGTCTCAAAACAAACAACCAACCAACCAAAAACACAGCTTAGTAGTTAAATAACTTGCTCTCAGACAAGTGCTAAGGACTCCGGGCCTATGTCTAGCATGAATACTGTGTAATAACACATGGATATCCATGATTAATCCTAGAATACTATAGCAGGGAATATTTTCCCTGCTGTGGATCCTCTGACAGTCTGGTGCACTGTGCAGCCCTTCTCAGAATAATATTTTTAAATGTACAAGCTAAAGTACAGAAGATCACAAAGAACATAAAACACAGATTCTCACAGAACTTAACAACATCACTCCAGACCCGTACATTGCTCAGTGTGTCCTCAACGATAAAAGTAAATTGCTTTCAACAACAACAACAAAATGTTGAACCTAACCCTGACCACTGTGCCCTTTGCACTGTGCTACTCTGCTGCTTCTTACGATGATATGTGAGCCACATCTTTAAATGCAGGCACGTGGCTCTGGGTTAGAGTCCTGAGTGACAGCAGTACGTTCCCTATAGCCCTGAGTTCACGCAGGGAGCATGGTCACTCCCCATGCCCAAGGAAGGCGTGGGCTATGTTCATTCCACCCGAAACACTGCCCGTGTGGAATTACCTTGGCGTAAACGCAGCTGTCGGAGAGCCTCATGAAAGGACAGTATTTGTCACACACAGGACACATGATGATATCTGTAGCTTGGCAGACTTCTTTACTGGAAAAGAGAACAGAACCAGGCTGCTTTGTTCATGACATGGAACATTTTCCTTCCCTGCAACTGCACTATCACAGTCGACTGATAAGTAAGATCCAATAGATGAAATTTTTGCCCTTGGAAGCTCCTTAGCTTTTTCTGTTATTAATGTAAACAAGTTCCTGCACATTTAAATAATTTGATGAACCCACTTACTTAGAAGGCTGTTTCTTGACCTTACATATTCATAATTTAAACTCAGGAAAATACGTGAAGCAAAACATTGGCCATTATACCTCAAAACATACAAAATCCTTCACAACATTTCACAAATTATTTTCATAATTTTGTAGCGAATTATGGAAACAGGATACCTAAAAAATGTCTGCCTTGATCTGTTTGTACCTGATAAATTAAAACTAAGAATAGAGGAATTTATAAAAATAACTAAAGATTTTAGTCCAGGAAGGAAACCACATTTTTTTTTTTTTTTTTTGGTACTGGGGATCGAACTTGGGACCTTGTGCTTGTGAGGCAGGCGCTGGAATCACTGAGCTAAATCCCTGGCCCAAAACCACATCTTATTAACAATTTCACCAGAAAATAAATTATTTTGGTAGGCAGAGGGTCAGTCAATTTTTTTTTTCAGCCACTTATAAAGGGTACAGTCACTATTTTAAGGTCACTGTCTAGTTTTGCAAAAGGATCAAAAGGCACCAGTTTTAAGAAAGATAAAAAACCCAGAAGGAGCAACTTTTAGAGTGAAGGTGACCTGTCCCACGGATGCAGAGCAGGGTGCGTGCCTGTCAGTGTAACTTCTGCTCCCATGGTAGCTGCAGACCACAGCTGGAAGGGCAGTGGATAGAGAGCCTATGAGTTGGAACTTTAGACTTTCCTGAGATGGCCAAGGAAGGTGGGGAGAAAATCTAAGCGTGTCTGCAGTCTGTGAACACCCAGAGCACAAGCAGCCGTCTCTACATGTGAAGCAAAGGCGGCTCCCTCGGGAGCTCCTGTACCTGACTTGGCAGTGGTCCAGGGTGGTGACGCCATACAAAAAGACGAACAATCCAATGAAGGCAGCGGGAAAGAGCATGCCCGTGTACCAGCCCAGCCAGGCAAAATACAGCCCGATCTTCTCTCCAAAGTACCGCCTGTTTGAGACACAACAGCCTTGAACATGACAGTGACATGTGAGAAGGTGAGCACAGTTATTCCCCTTCTTTCTGGCCAACCAAAAATCCAGCTGCTCCTCTAGGACTCAGCTGTACAGAAACTTCCATGGGGGTGCTGGTCCGCACCCCATCGTTTCCATTTATCTGAATTGTTGTAAAGCCTCCAGCCTCTCTCACACATTTTACCTAATCACGTGTGGCCTGGCACTTTTTTTCTGGTTGTCTCAAGTGTGCACGGCTCTTTTTTCTGTAGGAAACTGACTTTCTCAACACCAGGGCCCATAGCTTCTATTTGTCTTTACCAAGAGGACTTAGCACAGTACTAGAAATACAACAGGCAGGTAATGAATACTCAGTGACTAACTCCAGAATCTTACTCAGAGCCCTGTGGTGGTGCAGGTGGTTTGCCTGCAGCAATGTTCTGAATTTCTAATCAGTGTCATCCTGTCATTCAGGACTAATGCAGAAAGCAATTTGCTCTTCTTTGGTCTCACTGTTTATCAAGTATTTTGCGTGGTCAAAGGAAAATGATCTCATCTCAGGAAATATTTCCTACTCACCCAGATCATCTGGATCATTTATTACCAATGCAAAGAGCAGAACATAATGTATCAATGTCCTTGGAACATCTGGAGGAGACACTGGGTTACAAAGTACCGGGTCTCTGGCAGGAAAAGGACCACCCCAGGGGATGAAATAAAGGGTGAGTTGTCTTTTTCTTCCCTCTGGGCTCATTTCTTAGGGCCTGGGCATGAGTGAAACATGCCCAGCTAGTCTAGGAAATCAGACACGACTTTCTCTTTAAAGAGGAACCCGTGAAGTATGGGCTGATATTGCACAACCATAATATCCAGTCTCTAAATAAGTAATACAATGCCAGAGTGTAACACTGCCATGCCAAAAGGTCTGGCCGATACAGTTAAAAAAACCCCATACATTTGCACTGCACAATTATCATAGGCTAAAAGCAGAGGGACCCTTTGACTTGCAAATTAAAACAATCTCTAAAGGTAATAAGGTTTTAAATTAAAATTAAAATAAGCCTGAAATGTATTGGAATGACAGTACCTCATATGTACGTTCTATTTGCATAATACAAGATGAGATTCCCTTATCCAAAATGCTTGGGATCAGCAGTGTTTTGAGTTTCAGAATTAAAAAGAAATATTTGCAATGTGTACATACATATAATGAGATATTTTGGGGCAGGGACCCACATCTAAACACAAAATTCATCTATGTTTCATATACACCTGACCCACATAGCCCAGAGCTAATTTGATACAGTAGTTTCCATTCACCTGCATACTGACTGTGATCTGTCACATGAGGGTTAGGTATAGAATTCTTCACTTGTGACATCAAGTCAGCCCTCAAAAAGTTGAGGATTTTGGAGCATTTTGGATTAGGGGTTGTAAGTAATACTTTGTCACCAGTACCACATGTGAAGTGTGAGCTCTCCCCAGGACATTTGTCTCTAAGTTATGGAATTGGGAGGGCTGGATGACCTACCTGGCTCCTCCCAGGGGCCACTGATGGAAACACCATCCCCATCAGAGAGGGTCGTTTACCAAGGACACCGAAGTCCTCTGATGAGCACCCTCTCGGGGAGAAGCCAGAGCAGGGCAGGTCCTGGTGGCCCCGGCGATGGCTCTGTGCCCCCTGCAGACTTCACACGTGCAGCTGGGTGGTCACTCACCTCACGAGATCCAGAGGCTGGTATTTGTACCACACTCCCCAGGACGCCCAGCACTCGTAGAGAAGGTGCCGGTGGTTTACCGCTCCGTGTGTTCGGATAGAATTTTTACTTCTGTAACTCCCCTGCGATCAAAACACCACTGCTGGTGAGGAGCCACCCGCGGAGCCACAGGAAATGCTGTCTCTTACATCAGGAGTTGGGAGAAAGGAGAAAAACGCACCCTCTCTGTGAAAGGGGAGGCCATGGGTGGGCTGTTCTGGACACTGTCTTCTGACGATGCCATCGGCTAAGATGTGCTGCTTGCTAGGATCAGGTTTAAACTGAGCTCAAATTCACTTCTGCTGTGGAGATTTTGGATGAGGCCCCTAAATACCCTAAATACTCTGAGCTTGGGTTTCCTAATCCATCATGGAACTAATATTTGCCTCATTAACTTTCTCCCGTGGTTTAATGGGTACAGTGTCTGGCACATAGGACATGCCCAACACTGATCAGCTCTCCCTCTACATTTCTCAGGAGAGGGTAGCTGGTACCAACAGCCGTAGCTGCAGCCTTGTCACGTGGTCTCATTGACAGGGCAGTCCTAGAATGTAAAAGCTGGGAGCCATCTTGAGATCCTAATAACTCAAATCTAATTCTACCTCCTCATTAAACAAACGAGGAGATCAAGGGTCAGAGAGGTGGGCAGTGTTCAGAGGTCAGTTGGTGGCACTGCAGCTTTCACAAACATAAAGGTACCTTCTGCAGGCACACTGAATATTCACGTTAGCCTAGAAGTCCTTTCTCAGTGGAAAAGCTGCTAAGAAAGAAACTCCGGTGGTCTCAGCAAGGCTAACCTTTCTCTAAACTGCTGTTGAACATTTCAACACAAAGCAAAGGCTGCCATAGATGCCCTTCCTGCCTCTGCAGGTTGTTTTGCGGCTAAGTAATATAATCAAGCAAAACTGAAAGTAAAAAGTCAAGAGAGTAAAGATGTTACAACTGCTCCTGCCACTAATGTGGGCATTCTCTTCCCATAGATCGTACATGAAACCCCTAAGAAACCATGGGCTGCTCTGGGGGGTTTGTAGCTGTGCTCCGCTCACTGACCACTGCTTGGCACTGCCCTTCCCTGGGCCAGGACTGAGAAGGAGGACACAGTGCTCCCCGAGTCCCTTTTCTGGGCAATGACAACAAATCACTGCCAGAAGCTACACAATGCTCTTGGGAGAATCTATCCTGACAGAGTTCAGAAATCTGCATGCGGCTCCAGAAAACCTTTGTGTCAAAATGTTTACTTCTGTCACACCAAAAGGAACATTCCAGAAACATCTCCTGGCAGGCAGCCTGTAAATTGTACATCAGACCACAGCTTCTCGTATTCTTGATAAACCTGCTTTGAAAAATTCTGCGGGACCATGGTCATTTTCTTGGTGTTTAAAAATCAAGGTAAGAAACTCTGTAAGCCAAACCAAAATTATGCTTTGGGAAATTTTGCCATGCATGGAGAATGGGAATGGTTCTCCAAAGTTTACTGACAAACAGTTTCACCCAGAGACCATGAGCTGTGTGAAGACACATTTATCTTTGGATTCTTTGTGTCACGAAGTGACTGGTAGAGAGTCGGGACTGATTACCACGAAAATGACAATAATTATGAGGGTTATGCTCCTGAAAACCTATGTGTATGATTCTGGGTTAAATAATGCAAACTCTATTGAGGAAAATTGAGTTACATACAGGGTAATTGCAGTTACACTTATGAAAGTCACAATAAATCATAAAGACAATGAAGTACATAACAACATTTACAAATCTTCCAATGATGAATACAATACTATTAATTTCCATTTATCACCCTTTGGTTATCAGAAATTTTGCAAAATAGCTTCCTCCCACTCTTTCAAGAGTAGCAATACATTTATTTGTTGTAAAGAGTATATATTTCAAGAACAATTCCTCCTGAATGTAGTGCTTCATGCCAATCGTCAATGCCTTTTTAATTGCATGACTTCAGAATTCATCAATGGCTTTAAGTATTCTTTTAAGTATATGAAAAGATATATAGAAATAAATTTGTGCAGAGGGAGAGACGGAAGAGTGCAAGCAGATTTTCCCTAAATACCCATTGAACAAATTAAATTCATTCTGAACAAATGCCGAATCAACAAATTCAACTGAGGACTCTGGGTACAAGCTGACTTTAGTAACAAGACGTAGAAGAAAGGTAATAAGAAAGTGCAGTACCTCATGCAGGGGAAAAGCAGCTTCATAGGAGCCATTGGTGAGCAAGCGATTCAGACCTACAGCAACAAATAAAGCCATCTGAATTAATACTGAGTGCGAATCCTCGCCATGCTCAGGACGAATGGAAGGGCTGTACTTTCTGGCAAAACAACCTAGGCTTTCAAAAGTGATTCAACTCACTTAGGGATGATAAGCATTTAGAAATGCACCTTTGCTATCTGCTAGGACATTGGAATCCAGGGCTAGGATATCAGGTTTTCTTTTTTTTTTTTTTAATTGTAAAATATGTAATTGTCAGGCTGAATCTATTCAAGGTGTACAGTATGATGATACATACATATAATTATATCATGATTTCCATAATCAAGTTAATCTATTATGGGTTAGATCTAGAATGTGCTCAATAGACCTCAAGTGTTCAGAGAGGGGTTTTGGAAAGAGATTGGATCATGGGATGCTGTGTTCATCAGTGGATTAATCCACTGACCCCGTCATAGCTAAACGTGCTATAGGAGGCAGGGTTTGGTTGGCAGACGTGGGGGTCGCCTAGCAGGATTTCTTCTTTTCATGGCTGAATGATATTCCATTGTATATATGTATTTTAATTTCTTTATTCTTTTATTTGTTGATAGATGCTTAAATTGTTTCCATTTCTTGGCTATTATAAATAAGGCATTTCATAGATGCACTTTACGAGGCTGAGAAAGACAATTTCTAATTTTAGTCTGTTGAGGTTTTTTTTTTGTAGCAGGGATCAAACTCAAGACCCTGAGCTTGTGAGACAGGTGGCAGGACCACTGAGCTAAATCCCTGGCCCCTAGTCTGTTGAGTTTTTAATCAGGAATGGATCCTGGCTTTACATCCATTTTCCATGACTATAGAGATGTTCATATCATTTTCCTTTTGCTGTGTGCTAACATGGTCAGTCATACTGATTTTGTTCAGAGAGGGTGCTGACCCTCTTTTGAAGGGCTCAACTGACTAGGCAAAACCCACCTGCCATAATCTCTTCTGATGAAGTCAAAGTCAAACTGAGTAAGGATCTCAGTTGCATTTGCAAAGCCCCTTCAACTCTGTGTATTACGGTTTCAGGTGTGGTATAATTACCACTGAAGTTTTCTTTCTGTTGGGTAGGAGTAAGCCACAGGTCCTAGCTACAGTCAAAGGGACAAGATGACTCAAGAGTACAACTTGTTAGAGAGTCACCCGATGGTATGTGCATTTGCCAATATTATGGGTTTTTCCCCCTAAAGAACCAGCTATTGGTTTCAATGATTTTTCTCTATTACATCTGCATTTTATATTCTATTGATTTCTGGTTCGATTTTTATTATTTTTGACTTTATATTTCACTTGCATTTCCAGTTTCTTAAGCTGGAGATAAGACCATTAATTTGGGACATTTCTTTTTAACATAAACATATCACACGATATATTTCCACTATTTTAGTGGTATCCCACATTCTTTAATTTAATATGTTGTGTTTTTATTTTCATTCAGTTCAACACACTTCCTAAATTCCCCTTTGGTTTCTTCTTTCACCAGTTGTTTAGTAGTATATAGCTTACTTTGAAATATTTGTGAGTCTTTCCAGAATTTTTAGAGTTTAATACTTCTGTGGTCAAATAATATACTCTTTATGACCCGAATCCTTTCAGATTTATTGCCATGTTTTTTATCCCCGGATGCGGTCTATCTCGGGAATGTCCCATGTGCACTTGAAAAGAGAATCTAGAGTGGTCTAGAGGTCAGTGAGGTCAAGTTTATTGACAATGCTGGTCAGACCTTCTAAATCCTACTGAGATTTTACCTACTTGTTCTATCAATTATTAAGTGGTTGAAATTTATGTCTATAATTTTGGATTTGTGTATTTCTCCTTACATCTCTGTCAGTTTTGGCTTCATGTAGTTTGAAGTTCTACTATTTAGTGCATAAAAATGTAAGATTTTATGTCCTCCTGGAAGATTAACCTCTTTGTAAGAGGGCTTTTCTTTATCACTGGTGATATTCTTTGTGCTGAAATCTACTTTGTGTGATATCCATACATTCATTCAAGCTTCCTTTTGATACTGTTAATGTGGTATGTTCTTTCCAACCTTTCATTTTTAACCTATGTGTCTCCTTACATGTAAAGCGCATTTCTTAACAGCAGTAAAAAGTTGGGTTTTGCTTTTTATTCAGTGTATCAACCTCTGACTTTTGGATTGAGAACTGTATGCCATTTATAGTCAGTGTAATTATTAATAGATTTACACTAAGTCTATGATACCACCATTTTCCATTTATCCCATCTGCTTTTGGGTTTTCTGCTTTTTTTGGACAAATTATTTCTTAGGATTTCATGTTATCTCTGTTGCCTTACTATTTATAACTCTTCTTTTTGTTATTTCCATGGTTGCCTTAGAGTTTATGGCCTCTCTTCCACTCATCACAATCTGTCTTCAAGTCTAAGACACAGATAGTCTTAGAGTACAAGGCCCTTTCTCTCCCCTCCTGCCTTTTCTGCTACTGTCAACATATATTTTACCTTTACATATATTAACAACCTCAGACTACATAATGTTATTATTTTGGTTCAAGTCATCATTACCTATTACAGAGATTTAAATAACAAGAATATTTACATATTTTACAAGGACTGCCTTTTAATATATCTTTTAATAGAGAGTCATCTGGTGATGAATTCTTTCAGTTTTAATATATCTAAAAATCTCTTTATTTCACCTCCATTTTTAGGAGATATGTTCCCTGAGAATAAAATTCTAGGGCGAGATTTTTCTTTGACTTTAAAGACATTGCTTCATTGTCATACAATTTGATTCTTCCCAGTAAGAAATCTCTGTAAAGTTATTTTTGCATGTTTTTCTCCTTTTGTTGCTTTGAAGATTTTTTTCTTTATTGCGGATTTTGAAAAAGCTGATTATGTGTGCCCTGGTGATACTTTCTTCAGGTTTCTTACATTTAGTTTTTATTGAGTTCATTAGATCTGTAGGTTTATGGTTTTCATCCAATTTGGAAGATTTTTAATCATTACTTTCTCAAATATTAACTGCTTTTGTGTTTTTTCTGATAGTAATTTCTGTTCTGGGTGGATTCCGATGGGTTGGTTTTTCTTATCCTCGTGGATATTTTTCTTCTTATTTGTATGCCTGCTGATCTTAGCTGCTGTGACACTGATTTTTTCCTTTGTTGGTCAATACATATTTTGTCTCTGTAAATATTCTTGAGCTCTGTTCTGTGACAGATGCTGGAAAGAGCGTGATGCTTTGGGGTGTTATTTTTTACATGTGTTAGGTGAGACTTGTTTGATCTAATAGGAAGTGGTCCTTACTACTGGTGCCAGGAAATCAAGTTCCTCAACATTAAGAAAACAAAAATGAGCACGCTCCTCACTGTTCTGTGACTGATGTGCTCTTTCGGTCAGGGGCAATCCTTCTGGATGGTTCTTTCTCTAGCCTTGGGTTACTGTGTCTCATGTGTGCACTGATCAGCACTCCCTGAATATCTGGGTGTGGGACCCTCTGCAGATCTACAAAGTTCGAGCTCTGTGCTACTCTCCACTTTTTGGAACTCTGCTCTGTGGGCTGCCTCGGTATCTCTGCACTCCCTCATGTCTCTCATATCCCTCTCATATCTTCTCAAGTCAGGGAATCTTCTGGGTTCTGCCTGGGTTCTCCCTCCTGTGCTACAGCCGAGAAAGTAACTCAAGGCAATAACTGGGGCAATAACTATAGGCTCATCCCATTGTTTTTTACTCTCAAGGATCTATTTTTGGTTTCCTACATTTATCTGTTCTCTCACTCTCTCTCTCTTCTCTCTCTCTCTCTCCTCTCTCTCTCTTTCTCTCTGTTGTTTCAGCCAGGAGGTAAATCTTGTGCCTGTTCCTTCACCTTGGCCAGAATTGGAAGTTTAATAGTTGATCTTTAAAGTAACTTTCAGATCAAGATTTATGTTACTTCCTACAATAAACCTGGAAGGGGGTGCTTCAATTGGTATCTCTCACATGGCTTATAAATGGAATGCTCTCCATACTTTAGATCCTGATCAGGATCCAGGGTTTTAGCCTAACTGGAAAATGGGAAATGCACTGGTCTTTTTTTTTTTTTTTTTTTTTTTAACTGATGAAGGCAATCAGTGCTGAGATAATTTAAATCACAATAACACTAGTGTGGTTAAGCTGCTTGACACTCACAGTGAATGTATAAAAAAGGCACTTGAAATACAAGTATCAGTAGGGCTTTATATTTTGTCTAGTACACAGGAGACCCTCAATAAATACCTTTAGAATGACTGGATAAATTACTGATTATGTAGAAATCTTTAATTGGGGTTTTTATTGACTATTCCATATATCTCATCAATAACTTTCAATCATCCTGATCATTAGAAAAAATAGGATGCACAGGGATGTAATAAGAGATTTTGACGATGACCTTTGTAAGTTTATCATAATTTATCAAAGTCCTGCAAAGTAAGAACGTAGCTAATACTTAAAATCTATCACTTCACTAACTTCACCTCTGAATACAAGTTTGAAAATACAGATCAATGTCAAGATTTATTATATACACACATATTGTTATGTAAATCTTTGTTGAGCTATTCATTGCTCTGCTTTGAAAGTGAGTTTTACCAAGTTTGATTTTCAGAGGTGTATTAAATTCAGAGTAAAGTTGAAAAACATACCTTAGCAGTTTACATTCCACTAAAATACTCTTAGGACTCATGTCTAAAAATCAGTATTTTGTGTTATTCCTAATTAATGTTGGCTCATTCAAGATGACGCTTTCAGAAAATTTCAGGCATAAAATAACATAGACAAATGTTAATTCTATCGAGTAACTTTTTCTAATATGTTTCTTTTATTTATGAGACTGAAGATGACAATGGAATATTAGGTCAGCAGACCATTTGTAGTTTTAGTCCATATTTTTCAGCAAAATATGTAATTGTGGGTTGATAATTTATTCTGATTTTTTTCTAGTTAGACGTTGTTATTTCACCCTTGCCAATTTCCAAAGTACTGAAGACCTTGAATAGAATCCTTTTTCTTTCATCAGCTGAGAGAACCGTGTACTAAGAGAACCATGTACTGAGAGAACCATGTACTGAGACATACTAGCAATGATATCATCCTTCAATGTTTTTTCAAAACATTTTCCTTTTATCTCCTCTTCAGTAGTTGTAAAAAACCATTCCCCACTTGAGATGCAAAATTTAGGTCTGATAATTGCTGTGTGGGCTCACTGTACACAGTTTTTGATTGTGTAAGGAGAATGACAGTGAGGTACCCATTTGCCTTAAAAGATTTTCAATTCAGGTTGACACACACTTATTGGACTCCTATATAGACACTGGCCTGGGCAAGGATGCTACGAAGGAGAAGAAGGCAGTTTATTTACAATTATGGAGCTTATTATCTAGACTAGTCACTTCAGCAGCAGATTCTCAACACATTAGTGTGTTATAATGGGTTGTGAGGTATACTATAAATGATATTACCGTGATTAGTCAAGGCATACTTTTTAAGTTGTATGCATTTTATGAAATAATACAGAATAGATACTGCCATCATAATTTCAGTTCATTCATTTGCTAATATATTCATAACTGAAAGGGTATGATAGAAGAGTATGCCTAGCACAATCGAAGTTTGTTTAAAAATCATATGAATGAATAAAAATAGGCAAGAAAAAAGTAATCAATGTAATATTTGAATTATTTAGGACACAAATTTGTTTGTATGGGCTGAGGATTAAACCTAGGGCCTTCACATGCTAGGCAAGTGCTCTCTCCATAAGCTACATCCCCAGCCCTATGAAAGGTCAACAGTGGTTCTCTTCAGGTGGTAGATTTTCATGATGTCACTGAAAGTTATTCAAGAAAGTTGAAGAGTTGTATATGACTAATTAACATTTAAACATTGCAAAAATTGTCATAGGAATTTAAAAGAAGCAAGAATTCCTTCCAGCCGGAAGAGAACTTTACTGCAAGAATGTGTCCCTAGGATAGAGGTCTGCTGCAGACAATGTGAAATGTGTTCAACCATAACCCCTCCATTAGGTTTGGTTTCACTATGCCCACCTTCAGGGACTTTCTCTGAATGTAATATTCTAGGTTTATCTTATGTGGACTAGGTAGCTATCTGTTTCAAGGTAGCTACTACATTTTAATTTATCCAGATTGGGATCAAAGTAGGTTTTTTTTTTTTTTTTTTTTGGAAGCCTCATTATGTTAGTGACTCATGCTGAGCTTGCATTCAAATCTGCTTGTCTCATGATGTTGCTGAGTAACATTTCGCCCACACTGGACTCAGGGAGCTGCTGAGCAACATTTTTCCCACCCTGGACTCAGGGAGCTGCTTTGCTGAATCTGAATAAGACTGTACTTCTACGAACCAGTAAATGTCATCTGGCTGCATCTGGCTGAGGATTCCTGCTTGCTGAGATCTTTGAGGCTCTTGACCCACTGGCTAACACATTTCATGCATCCTTCAGCTAGGCCCTCCCCACCTGGAGGCTTGATGAAGAGTCCATTTAGGCTACACGTCTGTCACCAACTGATTGCCCTTCAGCTCCAAATGCACCTTCATTGCCTGCAATAATGGAGCTGGACTGTACAGCTATTTCTCCTTTGTCAGCTGAAGGCACTGATGGAGGAAGGGGCTTCTCTTCTGGATACCAGTACGGTTCTCTCAGTAGGTGTCTGCACATCCACTTCTACAGCATCCAGATCCTGCTGTGTTTGGTGGCCAGCAGCACTGGTGACTCCTTATGATCATATTTCCTGGTATAAACCACCCCATGGGTGGTTTCACAGGCCAGGGCTGCTGGGCCACATCTGCCAATGAACTTCCCTAGAATACATCAGGCAGCTGCCCCCTCACTCCAGCAAGTGTGTCCTCAGCAGGTCTCCAAGACATGTCCAGCACAGCTGCCCCCTCCCATGATGGTCTGGCTTTCGGCCTTGTCAAGAGGAGACTCTTAATGTCTGTGATTTATACTTTAGTGTTCCCCTAACCCTCAGCTAGCCCATCCTTCAAGACTCCAGTGCCCTGTCATGGTTTATCATTTAAGTTCAATTTTCTCTGTTCAGATTATGTGTGTTTTTGTCTCCTCACTGGACCCTAGCTGATAGAGGCCATTATTAAAACTATCAATAAAATTTTTGCTGGGACAGAGATAAGGATAAAGCCATACAAAGCTTCCTGATATATAATAATTTGTTTAATAAGGCAGGAAATGTGGTAATATAATATGGAAAGATTCTCATAAAAATGCCTACAATATGAATTGTGCAGGCTGTTTAATGGGGAAGTAATTGTGTGGAGAATCAGGCTATGTGTATAACTCACCTCTGTACTTGCAGCTCCCCTGGTCTATTAGAACACCTCCCCTCTCCCTTCCCACACTGGCTCCTTAGGGCTCAGGTCTCACTGATTACTCACCAAAGCACCGCTAGCTTTACTGGTCTGCCTCGGTAACACCGCCCATTGTACTTTCTTCATGTCACTTATCGTGTTCATTTCTTCATTTTTTAAAACTTCTTGAACATAAGCTCTGGGAGAGAATTGTGCTTCTCTCCCCAGCACCTAGCACACAGTACACCCTCCAAAAATACTTGTTGAATTCAGAGAAGCCCCATGACCCTACACAAATGAGATGACATGCGGTTTAAAGAAGATGTTTATGGATGCTATAAAGATTTTACACTCATAAATTACTATCAAGGGAGTAGTCAGAGGTTTAACACACAATAAACATGATGAAACTAAGAGAAGAAATTTAATTCCCAAATAGCAAATGCAGTTTGTAACATTAATACGCTACTTACCAATTTTGTTTTTTCCTTCTTCATACTTTATTCTTTGTAAAATATGATGCACGATTCTACTTCTTGTGGCATTGTTGAAGAAAGTGTCTTTGTTGTGTATGATGAAGCTGTACACACATATTGAAAACACAAGTTGAGGGTTAATTGGAGGTAAGTGCTCTAATGTTTGTATAACTTGGTGCTGCTCAGACGGGAGTGTATCCTAGGGGGTACGTCTGGGACAACATGAGAGAGCCCAATGGTCACCCCAGAGCACTAGGCTCACAAGTCTAAGTAGTTTTAGTTCTCAGAATCCTGAGCCTTAGCATCATTATGCCAGGAAGGAGCTAGAGCTGAATGAAATTAAGAGACATCAGAAAAAGAGAAAATCTAGGTCCTGTATCTTGTTTTTTCTACTCATTAAAAATATACAAATATTTATTTTCATCTCCTCTTTTCTTTTATCCTACCCCTCCCATGTCACGTGGCACTCCAAGAATTTTAAGATTTGAAACTGCTTGAGTGGTGGATATGGAAGTTAGGTATTTAGGGTTGGTCTGGCTCAGGAGAGAGGTGAGATGTCAGTTTCTGGAAATCACCTCTGTCCTTTGTTTTCCCATGTTTTTTTTTTTTCTGAATAGGACTCTTCTGCTAAAGCATATACTTAAGATTGCTTTCTTTCTAGGCTCCAAAGGTCACCAAGGGTGTGTGTGCACGCGCGCGTGAATGTGCACGCGCGCGTGAATGTGCACGCATGCACCCACATGCACGCACATGCACACATAAACACATACAACATTATGCTTTCCAGTAGGCATTCCAGGCCTGCTACTAGGTTTTCCAGGTAACAGAGCTTCCAAGGGATGCTTGAGGCATGAATCGGCCATGTGTCCTCTTCCCAGAAATGTGATTAATGGTAGAATATTAGTGATGATAGTGAATATAATTATAGTCACTTTATAAAATGTAAAACTTATCAACGCTGCAGACTTTACATTCCTCCTGTAAGTTGGACACCATGTAAGGCGTATGAATGTTGGCGGCCCCAACCCCCAAATCCAGCTCTAAGATCACCTCCTCCTCCAGCAATTCTCCTTGCCCCTCCAACCACACTCCTGTCCCCAGAATTCAGCACTGCCTTCTCTGAGCCGTGCCTTGTCTTGCAAGCACCTCGATTTACTGACCATTCTGTGCTGTCATTTATTTGTTTTCATTTCTTCATCAGATGTTTACTACTGATTGCACAATGCTAAGTGAAGTGGATAAAACCCTTGTCCTCCACTGGGCATGGTGCTGCACACTTATAATCCCAGTACTTGGGAGAGTGAGGCAGGAGGATCACAAGTTTGAATCCTGACTGGGCAACTCAGTGAGACAGAAACCCTGTCTCAAAATAAAAAATAACAAGGGCTGGGGGTATAGCTCAGTGAGGAGGCCCTGGGCTCAATCTCCATTGCCACAAACCAAACCAAAACCTAAACCAAAACCAACAAAACGTCCCTGTCCTGGAGATGGAGAAGACACAAAGGAAATGAACGTGATCACGAAAGGTAGACACAGGCTCCTCTGGCCTGCCTTTCCTCCACGCAGGACTGTACGTTCATTCTGGTCAGCGGCCGGGCCCTCACTTCTCTCGCGCCGGCAGCTCGTGTGTGGCTCGTACACAAGTGTCTGCGGTCACAGGGCTGTGCACGGGGAAACTGCTGTTACACATACTTCCTCCAGAAGATGGGTTCTCCACTGTTCTGATGACAAGAAGAAGGTCAAAGCGGCCTGGGCCAGGAGTGGGGTTCAGCTTGGGAACAGAGCCGGGGAGGGGAGTTGGGATACTAGTGAGGAAGGCCACAGAATATGGAGACCGTCACTGGAGCTCATTCCCCCAGGAAGTGCTTTGCTCCCGCTTTCCCTTCTCTTGGAGTTTCTTATAGAATATGGCTCTCAGAGAAAAGTAATTTCACTTGTTGGATGGGAGATAAATGCTACGGGAGCAAATGAGGGCATGCAGTATTTATCATATTTCCTCTTGGGCCTTCCAAAGACATTTTATGGCATCAAAGAGGAAGAGGAGAAAACCAAGAGTTACATCAGGGCAGTTCTTTCTGTTATATCCTTCTCTGCTTTTTGACCTTGCTTGAGACAGGCTGTTATATTTTAATAACAAATAAAGATGTCATAAAGACATAAGTAACACATAAAAAGCCCATTTGGACTCACAATTGCAGATGATCGGTGAAAGTGGATAAGCATGGCCGTGCTTGAGGAGACAATTTGGGGCTAAAAGCCCGTGGTACGGTTTTCTGCTTCCTTCTCTTTATTGTATCTCTTTCCATCTCCTGGGGACTTGTGATGTTCTAAACAACAAGCACCATACACAGGCTCCACAACTGTGTTGCCCTCTTCCTACATCTAGGTCAGTGATGGCAAACCTTTTAGAACTTTCAATGCTACAAACACCCTGCTGTGTACCATAGATTCACCACCACTGATCTAGGTTGTATCTTGAGCCTGGAGGCCACGATTCTAAACCCTACCTGTACTGGCTCACTCAGTCTTTACAACACCCGAGGTGTGAGTGCTTATTAACCCCACTGTATAGGTGGAGAATCAGAGAGGTTGGGCAATGTGCCCAAAGGCACTCAGGGAATAGGAGGCAGAGGCAAGATTTGAACTCAGGCACCTATGGAGGCTGCCTTTTAGCATCCTCACTGGCTTGCCTCCCTGCAAACACTGGAAACTTCCCATCCCCTGAAGGCTGGTGTTCCTTAAGGTCAGCCCAAGAGGAACTCAGCCCAGAATGCTCTTTTCTTTTCATTCTTTGAGTCTCAGCCTGGGTTGTACTTCGGTTGAGGCTTTGGCTCAGCCCACTCTCAGCCCCAAATGTAGTGTGATGCTGGAGAGAAGGCAGCAGAAAGCCCTGAACACGGAGGAGGGAGATAGGCTCTCAGCCTCCCCATGGTCAGCATCAGGTCTGTACCCAGCCTGGCCACTGACGTGGTATTGGGTCTCCACTTTGCTGGGCCTCGGTCTCTTCCTCTGTGGAATGGGAATAGCTCTGTGATTACTCTTGCGGAGCTTGGACTATGAAGACATTTAAGAAGTGCCCGAAGTTCGGTGTCAGTGTCTGTTAGGTCACATCCACAGTGTCTGCCTATGTCCCTGACTTCTCTGGGCTAGCTTCCTGGAGGCGGAGCCCTGCTGTACTCCACTCTCTACCCCAGCATGGGCACAGAGCAAAGCACACGACAACCCTACAGCTGCAGCCAGGGAGCCGGGCTCTGGAGAACGCGAGTTCCCCTGGGGGCTACAAGACTGATCTGTCTCCTTGCGCCTGGCCTCTCCTCTGTGTCCTGGAGCTCTTCCTGCCCACTGCATTTCTTCTGGCCTGGCCTAGCCTTTTCTTCAACATTGCATGTTTAGCGACCTCCTCCAGGAGTGGAACAGTCTCAGTTTCTTTGTCACTCTTTCCAACTAGAGGACCATTAGGAGCAGGGACAATTCCTTACATCATGGTTTTCATGCTTTTCTTAGCCATAAGCAGTTTTCTTCAAATGAAATCACACCACACACACACACACACACACACACACACACACATACACAAATATAAGTGAACAGTGAACAATTCTGGCAAATGTGAGACTTGGAGCCCCATGGCTCTGAGCAGAGCTCTACGCAGGCTTAGAAACTCAGCTCTGCTGGGGATGGTGGTCATGTGGAACTCTGTGGCCAGGTCCATCCAAGCTACATTTCATGACTTATCCTCAGACCTTGCAGTTCCTCTTTTAGAAATTTATTCTACAAATACACTTACCCAGTGCAAAGTGACAAATGGACAAGAATGCTCCCTGTGGTATGGGTTGTAATAGGAACGTAATTTAATTAATTCATCCATGGGGGATAAGATAAGCAAATTATGTGACAAGTCTGTGGCAGAATATTCTGCAGCTATAAAGAGACTGACTGTTCCTTGTAAACATTAAAAGTCTCCAAGATATACAGGGAGAGGTCTAAAACAGTCACAGGGCTATTTGTGTCAGAGGAGAATATATCCATAAGGAAGCAACCAGCCATAAATACGCGGACAGACACATCTGCTGGTGTGCGTGAGGAATTCCTATGGAAAGACACTCCTCTCCTTATGTACCCCCTCAGGGCTTATGCAAATTTCCAGCAAGCGGTAGGAAGGGATTCAGACTTCATCTGATTTGTTCCTGATCTTCCAGCCCTTGGTGAGGGACCTGCCAGGGGCACAGGGCAGCCTGCGTGCCTGGGAGTGTGAAGGGGGCTTCTTGGGTGGCTCTGTGGCCCCTGGTGCCCTCTGGGGGATGGGCAGACTGGAGCCGGAAGCTCCCCTGACTCTGCTCTAAGGTCTCAGACTTCTGCTTCCTATGGTGCTGAGCAGCTGAGGTTTTCACTTGGGGAGCTGGGGCCTGGGGTCCCCTCTCCTCTGGGCTAGGAGAGGAGCAGTGGGAAAGGAGCATAACGTGCAGCTGAGATTTAGCTCCAGGCCACCAGGAGTAGCACTTTCTTTTACTGATAGTTATTCCTATGGCCAGCTGTTCACAGCAGCTGTGAAATACTGTGAGGAGCTGGGCTGAACAAGCAAATCTGCTTCTTCTGTGCAAAGAACTGCACTCTGAGGCTATATATGTGCTGTGCTTGTATGAAGGACAATCCCCAAATGTGATGACTATTTAAAAACAAGTAATTATTATAGTAAAAGACACACTGTCATTAATCCACTTCAAAATATTCCCTTGCTCTGAACACACTTATCCCATTGTTCTGGCCACTTTCTGAAGCAGTTCTGGAGTCCTCTTTCCTGTGCTGCTGCGGCTTCCTGGATGTCCTGAGTCCATTCCAAATGTTTATTTTACTGGCCATTTTGACTCTGGGGAAGAGGCAGAAGTTACACAAGGCCAGATCCAGTCAATAAGGTGGATGACAACACACTGCAGGGTTTCGTTTTGTCTCTGGTACCAGGGACCAAACTCAGGACCTTGTGCTTGTGAGACAAGTGCGGCGCCACTGAGCTAAACCGCTGGCCCAACACTGCAACGTGTGACAAGCCTGCCTTTTCACTGGATGTGTGCACCACCGGTGTTCATCGTAGTTTTGATCCTTCCTC